GCGCGGGACCTCCCCACTTTCGGCGACCTAATGTCCTCTAGCCGCGTTGGGACAGTCACAAATAGCCTAGTTTGCCGGATCGAGACTACAGTGTAAGCTACGTACAGTCGACATGGAGCTAAGAAGAGAAAAGGGTACAACGCCGTTTACGCTCGCTACTATTGCAATCCATCGAAGCTTACTTGGACACCATGACGTGTACGATCAAGGACTGGGCGCTTCCTCCACAATGTGTAAGTCAAAGATTCGAATGGGGAAGTCGTGTCAACTAGTTACGTCCTCGCGCAGTCCCTGACGCCACTAGCACAACTTGTTGAGAGAGCTCAACCCTTCTGAATTTTTGCCTCTAACCATCGATTTTCAATTCCTATTCCTATCCAATCAACCAAAAAATTTATTAATTTCACGTATTCTGCCCCACCAAGTTACTAAAGAAAAGATTTTCAAAACACTCAGACCTCAGCGTATAAAAATCAAACTGGCTTGATAGAGTTGATCTTGAATAAAACGAGAAGAGAAGTGCTGGCGGATAGAGATAGAGTTAACTTTGAATAAGGCGAGAATAGATATACTAATGGATACATACCCACCAGCAATTCTGTTATCGCATTACCTATTCCTCTGTCTATCTAGAACCAAGACTATCATGTCAAGGAGATCTATAAGTTTCATACGAAAAGGAACTTGCGCTAGCTCTGGTAAGATGCAAGTTCACTCGTTGCAGGCAACCTACGTATGGATTGACGGAACTGGAGAAAATATGCGAGAAAAGACGCGAACTTTGAAGAAAGACCCTGGCGGTGTAGAGAGTAAGGGAGAAAAGTAGACTTATCAAAGATGAAATAGTCGATTTGCAGATTATCCTAGATGGAGTTTCGATGGTTCTTCTACGTATCAAGCTTCAAAAGGAGAGAATTCTGACATGATTCTAGTAGTAAGTCATTTACAGAATTGTACCATTAAGTGCACTACCCTTGCACCTCTATGATTTATTTGCAGCCAGTGGCAATTTATCCTGACCCATTCTTTGGCGGTAATCACAAGTTAGTCCTTTGCGAAGTATTAGATGCGCATGGTCAACCAGCATGTAATGATCTTATGACTCCGTTTTCGCACTTATTTGGGTTTGTGTTTACAGCAACCAATCACCGTCACAAATGCAAAGAAGTTATGGATAAAATTGATCATACTGTTCCTTGGTTTGGAATGGAGCAGGAGTACTTATTCCTCGATCGTGACGGACACCCATTGGGATGGCCGAAATTTGGCTTTCCTAAACCACAAGGTTGCATCTCAAATGAAATAGTTCCTGGCATAGGTAACTCGCATTCGCAGGACCATATTATTGCGCTGTCGGTGGCGATCGTATTTTCGGTCGTGAAATAGTGAATACACACTACCGTGCATGTTTGTATGCGGGTTTGGAGCTATTTGGCATTAACTCTGGTATGTTTTTGTTTGAGATAGCTTTCTTGCTAAGACTTCAGATTGTCGCAAAATATTTTGGTCCTAGTAGCGCTCCATTGAAGATGCGCATTCGCTCAAAATCGTTTACTTTTTTGCAAAAAATAGAACAGACGTAATATCCACTTTCGGCCTATAGGCAAATCGGACACAGATCTTTTAGCACCATAATTGCAGAAGTTACACCCGGACAGTGGGAATATCAACTTGGAGAGTGTAGAGGTATCGAATTGGGCGACCAGATGTGGATGTCACGGTATATTCTGCACAGAGTTGCCGAACAATTCGGAGTGACCGTTACCTTTCATCCAAAACCCGCTGTAAGCCCAATTATCCGCGTGTGAACGTCAAGGTATATCTTTCTCTTTTGCTCAGATTACTCGAGGACCCTGGAATGGTGCAGGAGCTCATTGCAATTTCTCCACTGAAGAAATGCGTTCCGAAGGTGGTATAAAAGCTATTGAAGCGGTGAGTGTGCAAAGACCCACTATTAATAAAATGAGTGTAGTAGGTTGCTTAG